GGTGACCCTGTCGTGGTGGAGGGTGTTTCTGGTTCAAAGGGTGCACCTCCAGCCAGAGCCAGCGGCAGGAATTGTGTTGCTCTTACAACGGGGAAGTTTCAGTTCTGCTAATCGAAAAGCTGAATTTAATCAGTTTAATGTGGTCTGGGAGCCCCACAGGTTAAGGGGAGAAAACATTTCAGCAGGTAACGTGCAGCTCACTGTCTCAGAAAACTATGGTCATCAAACCCACTATTTGGCACCAATGCTCCCCAAATTGCCCACTGTTTTCTTTGGGGGACACCTAGCACTGTTCCCATTTGAAGGTGGGCTTGTGGCTAAGCCTGGCCATGCTCACTCGCATCAGCTGAGTCTGGGTTGGCCTCTGTGGGAGTGACCCTTCTTGCCTGAGCAAAGGAAAAAAAAGTCAAACCAACCAACTCTGACTTCTAGGGGTTTCCTTAGACACCAGCTGCTCACTAAACCAAACTTTCCATTCCCTTTCATGAGTGACTGGCCTCTTGACATGGCAGTGTTTTTGAGGAAGAAAGGGAATATACCACAACAGTTTGGGAAACAAACACTCAACAACTATTGAAAAATTGCTGCTCTGATGAACACGCCAGTGGCAGCCATGAGCCAGCTTTGCTTCCATGGCACTGAGTTCCTGTGAGTGGATACTCCATCCTCCTTTGCCTGCATCCCACTCGCAGTGTGTTACCATGGCTGAGAAGAAGCCAGCTGCCAGCAGGTCCAGCTGAAGACCTTAAAGCCTCAAAGCACGCTCAGTTCCTAGGAGTTCAACTGCCTGTCCCAAGGGAACGGCACTAGTGCTGGATTGGAAGGCTCTCACCACAAGTTGAGCCTTTCCTGGTGTGCTCAGCCCATGCGCTCACTGCCAAGCAGCTGTGTTGGGCTATTCACCACCACTTGGAGTGACCCTCAGCTCTGCTCTTCATGTAACAGTGCCTATAGCAGTTCACGAAAATAAATAAATAAATAATTGGCAACTGTAGATATCTCTCACCAAACAACCTTCCAAAATCAACACTGAAGATGTTCTATTGCTGAGTGGTTTTTCCTTCCTTCTAGATGTTACTGTAAGCTCCCTTACCTCGTCACTGCAGACTGCAGCATGAGCTAGAATGACACTGCACCGTGGGCTGAGCATGTCGTCTCATCCAGTTCTTACAAAATCAAAATAATACTGATCTATTCTCTATAGCTGTGTTGGAGTAACATGGCACATAACTGTCTTCCAAATGGAGTCATGCCCATCCCATAAATTCCTTTTGCTCAGTGACAGAAACCCACAACAAGACTTTCTGTTCCTCTGCTCCCTTTTCCCCTCCATTCTCAATCTCTGTCAAGTGTCGAAGGAATGTCTGTGCCCTGCGAAGGCTCCAAGTCGCAGTGTTTACACCAGAAATGTAACACGGCCACCTTCCTGCCATATCCTGGTGACAGGAGCAGATGTCTCGGCTGCTGCCTAGTTCTCTTGTCAGGTAAAATGTCCTCCCAAAATGCCAGAGACTTGTTGCTGGGAGGATGCCATCTCCCACCTTGCACACCACAACTTCCCTGTAGGATATAAAATCTTTGGGATTACCAGGGTGAAATCTGAAGCAGCCACTGACACTTTCACTCAGATAATTTTAGGGTGGAAAGGAACCACAAGAGGTCACCCACACACACTCAAAGCAGGGCTAAGTTCTTCCTACCTAGCTCCTCCACATTATAGAGAATGATTAAGGCTTCAAGGGGAGAGAGGAACTTGAGCCTAGACCCTTCTGGTTTTGGGAAACTACAGGGATATGTTGCCAGGATGCATTCTCCCTTCTTGTGCATACTTGTACAGACATACTAGGTAGAAGATCCATCAAGTACTCATGAAAGACTCAAGAAAATTACTGGTTTTCCTCCTTTGTCAGGACATGCTTTCCCTTCCTCAGTTGCCAAGTCAATCTTAAATATTTTCGTTCTACCATGTCACGATTAGGACATTCTCCTGAAAATCAGGAGTTTGAATCACTTTTTGTTGAGGTGAAAACTAAACCTGGTTCCTCTGTCAATCCTGGGAACAATACTTAGGAGCCTAGGTGCTTAACATAAAGCCATGGTTTCTACTCCACAGGCAAAGGACAGAAAAGACAGGGACTGTGATATCACAAGTATTCCAGCAGTAGGGTGGATCCAGGTCTTAATGGTCAGTGAGCTAAGCTCTGCATGTATTTCATGCCCTCCCTCGAATGCAGAGATCACAGAGAGTGGTTGTAAATAGTCAACATTTGCTTAAGTCACACTTGGTTTTCCCCAGGGTCCTGCACCACTACCCCAACTGCATTGTTTCCAGTATCAATGAACAGTTTTCCTAAGTGAATTTTCCTGTGGCCAGAATTCCACTTGACTACAGGACATTTGCAGTGTGTATGTACCTCTGTCAGCTGTTGCTTTGTGCGTGGGGAGATGACATTTTCAGCTGAGTTGGGCACTTTCAGCATTTCCTCAAATGTGTAGACAGTGTGATTTTTTTTTTTATAAAAAGAATTTGTGCATAAAATCCAGTTTGTTTGCTTTTATTTTCCCTGACTCATTCTCAAGTGGATCACACTGCGCTCCATGGTGACGTGCTGTAAGAAACTGGTAAAAGAAATCTAATGTGGTTTGAGAATCTTTGCAACAGTGTTCCCCCTTGCCATTATAATCACTTCCTTTTGGAAGTAAAGTAAGTGGCACTAATATTAAGTTTCTGAACTATTATAACTGTAGCTACTGAGTAATTAAGTTCACAAACAATAACAAAAAGAAGAGAACCCTTCATACCAAAATAATTTTACTGGTAAAAGTGTTTTAAGCATAGAGAAACTGAGTGGCTTTCACTGTTTGCATGAGGGACCACCACAGTGTGCTGATGTGACAAAAATTTCCTGGAGTTACTAAATCTGAGATTACAGGAAAAAAACACCAAATCTGCTCAGGAAACAGAAATGTCCAACTTCATGAAGACTTTTTTTTAACATACCACGATGTTGCTTAACAACTCTGCAAATACACATAGCAGTGCAAAACTAAGTCAGATCTGCACATCTTGGCTGCAGGTTTGTTTTACTCTAAGGCTGTAATACCAATGCCTGCCTTATATTACATGGCATTTCAACACTTCCATAGAACTTGACACAGAGTAACAGTTGCAGCCTGCTCCAAGAGTAGAGCTTATTACCATAATTTTAAATAAAAATTGGAAAGAAGTGTTTGCTGGTTTTCTTTAGGTGTTCCAACTTGGTTTAGCCCAAGAAATTTGTCGTTTTCACAATTATGCTGTTGCTCTGGAAGCTTGTATGGAAGTGTCAATGCCTATTGGTATGGTTTCACAAGTTTATTTCCTTCTTTTTTGATTGAGAGATTATCCAGATCAGTGAAATTTGTGATCGTAATGAAAAAGGAGGGGGCCCATTGCAGTCTACACACTTTTGTCCTACAACCTGTGAATCAACGCAAGTCTACTGCTGGAGTTGGGAAAATGAAGAGTGGGCTGGAATCCAGGAGGTGGCTATTTGTATTGCAACTTTCAATCTTGGAAAACTGATTGAGTTGACAGACTCAACCATGTCTTTGAAGAGACACTAAGAATCTACTTCTCTGACAGGAAGACAGCTTGATCATGGAGCCAAGTATTTCAGGATCAGAATGTACCAGTATACGTGTCTATAGGAGGATGCAGATGGGGCAGGGCTTCAGTAGCCCTCCAGGCCAGGCAGCTGGTGCTGCTTAACTTTCCTGATAAAACTGGTTAAATTTCTCTCAGGATTGACTTGGAAATAAAAAAAATGAATAAAAAATAAAAGCTCTTCTGCTTAAAACAGCCCCAAAACCTTTGCCTAGAGCAAACAGAGGTAAGGAAATGACTGCTATTGCCCATAACTATGAAGGAAAATAATGTCTGATGCTTTTGAAAAGGTATTTAGTCATCTTTGTGATCAGACTAAAGAAATTTCTCCATTTTTTTGTTCAAATAAAGCAGCTGTAGAATGGCACCTGGACAGGGAATGCTCCTTCTGTCCTTACACTTCTTACCATTTAACACAGTGAAGGGCAAAGCCACCTTGTTCTTCTGCAAGAAGGACCAACACACATCAATGAGACTTAGGAAATGGGCACACCTTTACCCAAAAGTCTAATGCAGCCAGCGAGATGGTACCGCCATCTCATGAATGTTGTGTGACAGACACCTAGGTATATGTTTGGTTGTGCACTTATGCTTCTCCATCTGTTTACACCAAAGCAATAAAGATTTTAAAGATTTATTTAAAGATCAGTTTGAACTGTTTGCATGCTTATGATACTGGTGCACTACTAAGTTCATCCTTTTATTTCCTGTAGTATCTGAAATCCAGTCTCCAAAGGAAGAGTATCCCTGCCCTAAGAAATGCACAGCCTGAGCATATCACAGCAACATGGCCACTGTATGGCCACTATGTTTTAGCATGTCTCTCCCCTCCATTTGAGAAGCAATCTGTTGCTTTGCCTTCTTTGGCATGGAAACTGACCAAAAGTAGAAATAGAGGAAAGAGACAGCAACGCGATAGGAAAATACACAGATGCAAGGTTCGTATGAATCTTCCTGGCATGGACTCACTGTGAAGCCCTGTGACAAATCAGTGTCCTCAGTCAGAATTTGGCAGACAGGTATAGGTGGCAAGGATAAAGCACTCTAACTCTGTCGCTTGCTGGGACTGGTTCCACTAGCTGATTTCTGAAGTGAGAAGTTTGCCTTGAGGAAAGGGAGGTAGGGAGAAAGAAAAGGGGTGTCAGCATCTTTTTTAACCAAAAAGTCAGTGAAGCCCTCTGCTGACACAGATTTCAGCTAATGGTCAAACAAGAGCAGAGGTGATTGCCCCTACCCTTTTTTCCCCAAAAGGGCATAGGCTGGTTTATCATTAACAGAGCCAAGCTAATCAAGCAACCCACCACGGCTGTTCTTCCCTGGACAATCCTTGTACTTATAGTGGACTAACAGGAAAATGGTTGAGGATCCAAAGAGGAAGTCACTCAATGTTCTTGCTGTCCTTTTGCTGTTCAGCTCAGCACAAGCAGGTAAGAAAGACAAGAGTGCCTGGCAAAATATTGAAGGTTTTAAATAGGTGGGATCTGAATTCAGTTCTCCCCAAACAAGCTATGTGTCAAGAGGTTCTTGCTATAATCTAGTTAGATGCCAGGAGAAAGCATAGTGCAAGAAGGGTCATTTCTTCTCCCATGCTTTGATTCAATCAGTCTCAATGACTTAATTCCACTAACCCAATTTAAAAGAATGATCCGGGTGTCCCCTAGAGGAAAGGAAGCGGAAAAAGGACCACTTGACCTTTGGCACTTCTCCTGCTTTGAAATCTTAGCAAGTGTAATCTGCAGTAGCTGAGAGAAAATAAACAGACACTATACTTTCATTTTTTCCTTTAATTGTACTGTCAATGAAAACTGCTTCTGTGACTATCACTACAGTCCCACATCACCTGCAGCTTCACAGCAGTGAAGCAGTGCACCTCTTGCCTTACCTTTACTCAACGATCCCCCTCATCTTTCGCCATTTCTGACATGCACTGTGCTTGCACTGAACCTTCTCTTGCTAGTTAAGTTGACTCATGAGCTGCGTTTTTTACAAACTGATCTCAGAGAGCATCTATCTCTTTTGCTTTCACCACACAGGAAGACCAAAATAAACAACAGTAAGGGATAGTCACCTCAATGAAGCAGAAATCTGAATGCTGAATCACACTTATTTGTGCTGACCCTTAGGCCATCTTCTACCTAGCTTGTTGTCACAGATGGAGTGATATATACAGTTATGATTCAGCAGCAATTTAAGACTTATTGATAATGTGAAGTGATTTTGGCAATGCTTAATCAATAACCAATTTATATGTTTAAGTTGATATTCAGAAAAATAGATAATAAAACAATAACATAGTTACAGATTACAAAATTATAGGATTCAAGCTCACTTACATTAAGTTATCCTAAATGTGTGTGTGTGTACACAAAGCATGCAAATGAAGATATTTGGTACCAAAAGTACAGATTTCCACTCTTATATGTATCTATAAGCAATACATGTAAGTAGAGCAATGGGTAAAGAAGCTAGTTTATAGATTAAATTCCCCTCTTCTCAAATTTTTGAACAAATACTCACAATGCATCAGCATTCCTCAATGGGTGATCATGGAGAATCGAGTAGGGGCTGGCTTCTCCCTGGCCTTTCATCATCTCTGAGAGCAGGCAACCTCAAGGACTTGATGCCTGAGGGGTGTCCCGCCTAAGGGGAAGATACTGTCCACAGCCCAATACAATTCAGGATATCTCAAAGGATCTCTCTTTCGGGTCACATATGTATAGGACTGTGAGATAACTGACTTTTGTCAGAACTATTGTGGCCACAATTCTTGTCAGGTGATCTCGGCAGCTTTCGGAGCGGCCTTGTAACCAGGGCAGGGAGGATCTCAGTTAAGTTTCCCAGGGAACAAGAGTTCCAGGTGCAATTAGACTTCACAGAATCACAGAATGTTAGGAGTCGGAAGGGACCTCGAAAGATCATCCAGTCCAACCCCCCTGCCAGAGCAGGATCACCTAGACTAGGTGACGCAGGAACGCGTTCAGGTGGGTTTTGATTGTCTCCAGAGAAGGAGACTCCACAACCTCTCTGGGCAGCCTGGTCCAGTGCTCTGTAACCCTTACAGTAAAAAAGTTTTTCCTCATGTTCAGACTGAACTTCCTATGCTCCAGCTTGCTCCCATTGCCCCTTGTCCTGTCATTTGATGTCAGAGATAAGAGCCTGGCTCCTTCCTCCTGACACTCGCCCTTTACAAATTTATAAACATTAATGAGGTCACCCCTCAGTCTCCTCTTCTCCAAGCTAAAGAGACCCAGCTCTCTCAGCCACTCCTTATAAGGGAGATGCTCCACTCCCTCAATCATCATATTTGAACAGAAATATCCCCACTCAGTGGTGACTACCTGTTAGCAACCTTTTTTTTTAAAGATCTAATGGCCAGTTCGTAAAAGTATTAGTAGCTGGCATGTGTTGTCGTTTTTGGAAAAAAAAACCAAACAACAGAATGTCCTTCACATCTCAGTAAAACAACTCTCAGAAGTCAAAGCTATCACGATATCCTCAGCTATCTTTCCCAGCCAGTGCTAGAATTCCATGAAAGAACAGAAACAACTTTATCAGAGACATAAAGTTTCCAGAATAGGCTGATTTTAATTTATGTTCTATCCTTTTAATCTTTATCAATAGAAGCGAGATTGTTACCTTCATTTTCCTAATGAATTAGAATGAGGTTTGGCTTTTTTCCATTGCACAGACACAGACAGGCCAAGAGAGTTAGGGCTGTTCAGCCTGGAAAAGAGAAGGTGCAGGGAGACCTTATAGTGACCTTCCAGTACCTGAAGGGGACCTTCAGGAAAGCTGGAGAGGGACTTACAAATGGGTGTAGCGATAGAACGAGGGGCGATGGTTTTAAACTACAGCAGGGTAGATTTAGATTAGACATTAGGAAAAAGTTGTTCAATATGAGGGTGATAGATCACTGGAACAGGTTGCCCAGTGATGTGGTGGAGGCCCCATCCATGGAGACATTCAAGATCAGGCTTGATGGGGCTCTGAGCACCCTGATCTAGTTAAAGATGTCCCTGCTCACTGCAGGAGAGTTGGCCTAGATGACCTTTAATGGTCCCTTCCGACCCAACACATTCTGTGATTCTATGATTCAGAATATGCTGTTCACTCCTTCTTGTTGCAGGAAATAAAGACATTCTCTCAGGGCATCACTGCACTGACTTCCAGACAGCAAATTTCCTACGAGGCAGTAAACTTAAGGTCCGGTTTCTGCTGTTCACCTCCTCAAGCCCCAGCTGTGGGGAGCTGATTTTAGTTGATGATGACATCAAGAACTCCAGCTTCAACAGCAGCCTGGAAACCAAGATAATAATCCATGGCTTCAGGTGAGAGAAATAAGAGCATTGTGATTAAATTTTTACTAGTGAATTAAACACTGTCAGAGCATTCCCGAGCACTGGGTGTGACTCACTTGTGTGACCTTCTCAGTCTCCCCAGCAGCATGGCTGTGTGCAAATCACCTGCTAAGGACAGTGTAGTGCTCAGCCCCAGACCGGACCTGGGAATTGTCTAGGAGACTGTTGGTTGGCCAACGCCAGAGGCATGGAAAATGCTGCTGACAACCCCCATTACAGCACAACTTGAAATCCTTTAGTTTGTGACCAGCTGCCTATTTTGTAGGTGTTTCGTAATTTTTGGAGCCTAAAAAAAGTTAGGAAATTTTCTTTCTTCCTTTTTCTTTCTTTCTTTCTTTCTTTCTTTCTTTCTTTCTTTCTTTCTTTCTTTCTTTCTTTCTTTCTTTCTTTCTTTCTTTCTTTCTTTCTTTCTTTCTTTCTTTCTTTCTTTCTTTCTTTCTTTCTTTCTTTCTTTCTTTCTTTCTTTCTTTCTTTCTTTCTTTCTTTCTTTCTTTCTTTCTTTCTTTCTTTCTTTCTTTCTTTCTTTCTTTCTTTTCTTTCTTTCTTTCTTTCTTTTCTTTCTTTCTTTCTTTCTTTCTTTCTTTTCTTTCTCTTGCCCATTCTCTTGCTCTCTTCTCCTTTACCTCTTTCATTTTCTTTCAACCTTTTATTTTAAGAAGTCTTTTCTTCTTAAATTGTCTTCTTGGACCTCATGTCCTGATTTATCAACAGCCTGGATTAGTCAGCCATTTAGGAGTACTGTCAGACACATTATACCTTTATTCTTGAAACTGTAGAGATTAGAGCCAGATTTTTAAGCTGTCACCATTCTGCAAGCTTATTTTACTGTGCCATTTTTCAGCCAGGTGTGACCAGATAACATTATTTGTTTTGATGTGCAAAAGCCTGAATGGAAAGTGCATAGAAGACCAGGGGGAAACCACAGATGTTGCAGGGTCTTTTCAGAAAACCAACTGTTGCCCTCATGTGAAAGAGCACACCCTCCCACTAGGTGATTTTAGGGGAAGTGGGTAGGACACAACCTCCTCGGTTTTCCTTGAATTCTTGGGTATATAATTGCTTTTTAAAATGTGTACAGATTAGGAAATGAAGAAGTGAAAGACTAGGTGATTTGACCATGGACTTCCTGCTAATTGACAGCAGAGCAGGATCCAGGTGTTCCTGATCAGCTCACTCACTCTACATGGGCTCTGTGGTGACTAACTGAAGCACCACAGCAAGACTGAGGTCTCAGCTTGAGCCCTGCAAATGTTACTTCATTCATTAAAATATCTGGTTCCCTTCTGAATCAGCCCATTCTGGAAAGTGTTTTTGTACCACCACAAAGATGTACGAGATGTGGGTGTCTGGCACCAGAAGAAACTTTCAGCAACTGTCTGGCAGCCTCCTCTGAGACATGTGAAGTTCCAGCACCAGTGAGCAACATATTGCCAGATGCCCTACTTTGGAAAACACCTGACATATTTGTTTCTGATGACTCCACAGGGCTTTGGGTACCAAACCTTCCTGGACTGAAGGGCTTGTCCATGCCATACTGCACACAAGCCAGGTGAACGTGATTGCAGTAGACTGGGTTTATGGGTCTACAGGAACCTATCCCTCCGCAGTGGAAAATGTCACACGGCTGGCCCTCTCCGTCTCACAGTTCATCAGCAAGCTCCTGGTAAGCTACTGTGCATTTTCAGTGTGGGTGAGCATGGCCAGAGAACATCATTCATGCAAACCAACCAGAGAACTGCTCCCAAACTGCTGTCTTCAGGAACTGGACAAGCGGTCTTTTTATTCCAGAGTGAGCATTGTGTAACACTAAAGCAATTTCTTTTTTCCCCTCTCTCTCAGCCCAGGCTTGAGCATGCCACTGTTTTTATTCTTTCACTTGAGTTTTGACATTTTCTGAAAAAAACATCCCAGTTGTCAGCTGCTGCTCCAGCCCAGGATGAACCTGAATGATGTCTTGGGTTTTCTTAGGTCCATGCCTCACTGGACAGTTGTCTTCTTCTTCCTGGAAATTTTGTCCAGGGAGCTGGAGGGGTTGGGATTCGAGGCTATTTTAGATTTGCTTTGGGCTTCAGATACATTTCCCAGTAGCTGTAAAGCCCTAGATGTATCTGATTTCATTGGTGCCCAGCACAACTGAACAAAAATTATGCAATGAGGGTGACACATCTTTGTGTTTTCCAGCTACACATAACCTCTTGGTGTAACATTTGCACTACAGACCCAGGTTGCACAGCATAGGAGTTCCTGGGTATGCCACATGTTGTGCACAGTCACACATATCCATCCAGAAATATGGCAACACTTGGAGCCACTGTGTCATTAGGAAGATGGGGGAAGGTGAGTTTGGGTGGGTGTAGAGGACTGTCACCCCTCATTACTGAGTAGGTCACACAGTAAATGAATGAGTGAGCTGGACAGTGTCCCTACCACTCATTCCGTGTCTGTGCTGAGCTCTAGTCCAGCTGCTTAAGGACTTTTTCTGTCCAGCCTCTCCTGGAGCACTATACCACAGACGACTATATTGGGCTTCTAATGAGCCTCAGTAATGCTTCAGGGCAAACCTCATATATTTCTGGATTTTTTCATCTTGCTCCCACGCTCTCCTGCACCATATGCCATCCAATTGTATGGCACTGCATCATGCAGACCAGCCAGCAGACACCTGTATTCCTTTGGATGGGGTCAACTCACATCACATACAAGTGGCTGCGCTTTACCTGGCAGTCCAGCCCATGGATAAATCCTTAGTCTCTGAAAAAAATAATCTTAAAAACTAATCAGGACATTGATACAATTGTAGTATAAAAATTTAAAAAAATATTCTCTGCATTACTGAGGAAAGGATTATTCACATGGTGAACATGGGTCACTCAGCTAAGAGGGGGAAATTCAGTCTTAAGCTGTGGAAAGAGAAGCTACAGGCTATGTAATTGTGAACAGGAGCATCTGACTGACATGGTTAGGCTTGGGTTTGCATTTGTGGACACGAGGAAAGACTCTGGAAAACAGAAAAGGCAATACCCATCATTCTGACATCTATTAGAAGAGTTGCAGAGCTGCTGCATGGTCTGGGACAGGGTATTTCACCGTTCTGCTGCACCAACATTAATTTGTATTGTTTCCAATCTGTAGGCCCTGGGAGTCTCAAGGACATCCATCCACATCATTGGAGTAAGCCTTGGGGCACATGTTGCGGGTCTGGTGGGACACTTCCATGACGGTCAGCTGGGACACATAACAGGTATCATAAAACTGTGTCTTGGGTCCTCACCTACTCTTCAAGGGAGAGAATGGAAAAGCAAGGAAGGGGAGTAATCTTTTGATTGCGTAAGGGCTTGTTAGATTCAAGTTTACAGGCTTTTTCCCAGTTTCAAAAGAGCCTGGCAATGTCTTTCCAGCCATTAGTCCCCTACACACCACCAAAAGAATGCATGTATTTGCAAAAAGGTCCTTCCACCTCTGCTCCACTCCTCAAACTCGCAACACTCACAAGCTTTGCTTCCACTTTATAGCATGTATACCTCTGTGGTTCTTAAAATAAAAGCCCACAGTGCATGTCATTGTAGGGGAACAGCAAGACTGAGCTGTTCTGCAGGAAAAAGTGAGCTGAGAGCCAAGGGTGACAGCAAGGTAGGCAGGGGCAGTGGCGTCACTGACAAGGGGCTCAGTCCTACTGTATCTGTGCAAGAAAAGCAGAGCAGACAAGAGCCTGAGCCAATTTTGGGTGGCCTGAGATGAGGCTTCTTGCTGCTCTCTCCCACAAGTCATCTGTTTTCACAGTAGACTGGTCCAAGATCACCTAGTTGTACCAAGTCAGAGCTGACCTTAAACACAGACAGCCAGATTCCTGGGTTTGAGGAAGAGGTTGCAGTGGGGGAATTACATAGAAAGATGGTTAGCAAATGATCATGGCATTTAGAGCTTTTTGGTTCACTCAGGGTTTTGCCAGGCTTTAGGTATGGAACCTTGAATAGACTCACAAGGTCTCTAGTCCACCTCCCCACTCAAAGCAGGGCTGCTGTCCAAGTCAGAACAGGTTGTCAAGGGTCTTGTCAAGTTCTGGGAACCCCCAGGGATGGAGATTAGTTTTGACAGGAGGTAAAATGCCACCAAGAAGGAACAGACAGAAAGGCACCAGTAGAGTGACCACAGCTTCCAGTCTGCCTCAGCCCATGCTGGTCTATCTCACAGAGGTATCCTCAAGGAGGATCCTCAGCAGGGCAGTGCAGAGAAAAGCCTTCATATGTCACAGCTACCCACACTGCATGAAATACAGGCTTTTATTACCAGGAACTGTGTTTCATGCTGGGCTTTTTTTTAAGCTGTGAATGAAATTGTATATTAGGAAAGGCTTGGAGTAACCACTTTCCTACACCAGGATTTTATGATCAGCAACATCTTCAGATGAGCAGAAGCAGACGCTTTCGCAGGAAACCATGGTAATTAACTTCATAGTGAGAAACTCTTCCCATTTATATTGTCTACATGTAATAAAAGTTCCGTAGGCTTATTTATTGCATTATTTTTTAGCTCTGCTAGAAGACAACCCTTTTTCTACGTTCCTGATTGCCCTATGATTTCATAGGCACACTGAGCATTGCAGGTTCCAGTTCAGATTTAGGAGCCTTAAGAGAGGTGGAATTAAACTGATATGGCTGATCTCATCTCCTGCCTCCTCACATGTAAGCATACACACACAGAGCAATGTGATCCCAGAGCCATAATTCGCTACAGCATTTTCAATCACCTAAAAAGAGCTGTGGAGCAAAACAAGAGTGAGTCCTGGAGACCAGACTACAGACTTTATTTCTGTGAAGTGAGTTTCTTTAACCCATGCCTGTTCCTGTGGATATCTCCTTGTGCAGGAAAGCAAATGTTACAGGAACTGGAATGAACAGTCCATATCCAAAATTGCTGCAGAGCAATTTGTTTCAGTTCTTGCAGAGGAAATGAAAAAGTCTGAGGGAATTCAGTTGCATATATTATAGCTTCAGTGAACAGTTTTTTTAGCTGCTGGGTATGCACATCTCAATGGAGTTCATGCAGCTTGTGCTTGGAGGAGGTAGGCATAGAGAAAGGAGGATGGAAACGTGCTTGCCTCAGAGCTGTGCTAGAATTGATTATTGCTCTTATTAGGTGTTTCTCCCTCCTCAGGAAGGACTTTAAGCTATACGAAGTTACACTTTTCAGTATCTCTTAAAGCCTGTTACTAAAACTTGGTCTGTAGAAGTGGGTGGGGAACCTCTCAGCTTTTTGTATGTGTCAAGATTAAAGAACATGGAAAAAAAATTAAAGCAGTGATTTTTTCTGACCACTTCTCCTATTATTAGCTTTTATTCATACAAAGAACAGGAAACCATTTTTTTTCCTTATTTTTCTTTTTCTCCTTCCCTGCCCCCCTCACAAATGCAGACATATCCATTTGTATATTGTTGATACTGCATTATCCATAGAGAATTACAGGACTGAGTCCAAAGTAGTGAAACTGGCCAGCTCTGAGTCTAAGTGGCATGTGGAGCAGAGCTGCTTTTTAAACCATTGTTGCCTGGGGAGTGAAAATAAATTTTGTCATATTACTTTTCTACAAAAAGTGAACAGGATAAACCTCAGCCAGAACAAAAAGAAATTATCTTTAACCCGTTCCTTAGTATTTCCAAGGATAATTTTCTATATTCCTTTGGCTCCCCAGAAGGAAGGGGAGCAAGTTTTAGGCAAAAATATAGATGTCTGCTTAAGGACTCTATTTTATTTGTGGGAAGAGGGCAAGTGTCTTTGTAGTGCCTGGGATGCTGGATTTATCACCTAACTGATAACCCTCAGTGACATTTCTCAGATTGTAGTGCTAATACAGATGACAGTAAAATTAAGAAGGGTGTTACAAGTTTGATTCTCTTTCACTGAAAATCCAAAAGACAGTTTGCACCCACTCTGTCAGAGGTATTTGAAGCTCAGTCATGGCTTTATAGCTTAGGTACAAAACTGCTAAAGTGAAATGGAACAGTGGAGGACAGGATAAGGAAGCTGTAGTGGAAGCTGGGTTTGAGAACAAACAGAAACCATTCTGGAGCATAATCAGTGGGATCTGGAAATAACTTATCACTTCTGCCTAACAGTACTTTAGATGTATTGGATCAAATAACTGGTCTAATCAAGAGAGGGTATAAAGAGCACTTCTTGTTGAGGCATTTAATTTTGTTACAGGCCTGGATCCTGCAGGCCCTCAGTACACCAGAGCCAGCCCTGAGGAACGCCTGGATCCTGGGGATGCCCTCTTTGTGGAAGCCATTCATACTGATACTGACAGTAAGGTGGCTCTCATCTTCTTTGGCCTGTGCTTTTATTCCTCCTGCTGTCATTATTGCCAAGGAGTGTGTAGGTCATTGACTCTTTTATGCCAGATTACCATGAGTTCAGGTTTGCTGAGGATGTTTCTTGATTAGACAGGCTTTAATGATGAATTAATTGGCAGGTATCCACACCCTAGAGCACTTCACAGCAACAGACAGGTATAGATTAGACAGAGAGCAATCTTCCAGCAAACATTTATTCCTTAACCCTGCCACAGCAGAGTGAATTTATGCAGAACCAGCTCAGTGTGGCTTTTACCGTCTGGAAGGAATTTACATGTCTAGTCTCACTTTACTTTTTTCCACGTGACAGAAGAAAAATGCCACTGCACGTGTCGGTGGAACGTAACAGGGTCAAAATAACAGTTGGTGCAACTTTTCTAAAGCACTTAGGGTCTGCATAGGTAGAACATGTGCTAAAGAATAATGTTGTGCTTTTAAGTCACATGATGAAAATGTCTACTAACATAACTCTCAATCATGCCTTATTGTCTCCCATTAAGGTTGTGGCCAGTTTTGTTCTCCTTTATATAGAATCAAGAACCTGAGTCACAGAGGTAGTGATTAACCACAGTCACTTTGATGGCACTCTCTGCTCCACGCAGCTAACCTGCACAACGCAGGCATATAGGAAGGAGCAGGAAATCTGTCCTGTCTCCAGCACTGGAGCTGGGTCGAGCACTACAATTATTGAGGCCTGTCAAGCAGCATGTAGGGTAAAGGTAAAGCCTATGGGAGAGCCAAGTGTAAGAATGAAGTGGCATTTCACATCCTTTCAGATTTTGGGATCCGGATTCCTGTAGGCCACATCGATTATTTCGTCAATGGAGGCAAAGATCAGCCAGGATGCCCCCGGTTTATCTCTGCAGGTGAGAACACTCAGTGGTGAAGCAAAGGTCTTTCACAGCCAATTAGCAGTCTGTAAAATGCTGTTTAGTAACTAGCTCCTGCTACAGAGATACATATATATATATATATATTTGTAAAGACACATGACAGCAGTGATTTATGGCCCATGTTTCCACTCAGCAGTTCCACAAGCAGCTGAAATTAAAATCACATACAGGTCACATGTCTTGGCAGCACCACTGTCAAGAGATGTGATTTTGGTGACACTTCCGTATCAGCCAAAACCCTACTATCAGTAAAGTTTGTATCAACAAAGAAAACATTTTTGTTAGAAAGGCTCTTAGGTACTACTAGCAAAAGCTTCTTTTTGTTTTCGTGCTGCAAGCTTTGTCTATACTTACAGAGACATCTTCTATGATTACTGCCTTTTCCTTCTAGAGAATAGAGCTTTAAAATGGGACTTTTTATCCACAGAAAAGTGTCGATAAATATTCAAATATGTTCTGCATGAGCCAGCTGCATTGAGTGTCAGATTATAGGGGACTCCTATGGCACCTCACTTCTCACAGCTGGGGTTGCAGTGCAGGTTGGAGTCAAAACTATTGTACCCCCTTGCAAAGAGCTTGGGGCCTCATCAATGCTACATGGATAGAGACACAGCAGCCCTGTGGTCTTCCTCTTCTGGGGGACTCTGTTATTCTGAGAGATACATCTCTTACTTCCTGGGTAACTTCTCTTGCAGTGGGATCTGGGCTTGCAGTCACAGAGATGCTCTGCAAAATGTTATTAATGGGAAGGGGATGGCAGCACAATCCATAAGAGTGTTTCTCAGTTCCTTGGGAACATGCGGAAAGACTGAAGCCAACGGAAAGACTCATGGCTGCTTTTCTTTGGGTGTTTTGTTTTTTTTCTTACAGGCTACAAGTATCTGATCTGTGATCACATGAGGGCAGTACATCTCTATGTCAGTGCCTTGAAATATTCTTGTCCACTTGTGGCGTTCCCTTGTGCAAGTCATCAGGATTTTTTACACGGACATTGCCTGGACTGTGTTGATCCCTTCCTGTTCTCCTGTCCCAGAATAGGTACAGTACCAGCATGAGACCTTCCTAGAGCAGATGACAATACATTCCTGATGGCTGTCAGTGCAGAGCACAGTACACGGTTCAGATTTCTCTGAGCAGGAATTCCTTTGGATCTGAGTGAGAAGCAGTTGCTTTTTCAGGCTTTTATAGAGACGCTCTAAAAGCTCATATATTGCCCAAGGTAGAGTATCAACATCTTGAATATTTCTGATCTTTAAACATTTAGTTGAAATAAGTTGAAAGAAAGTCTCCAGAATCACCGGCCTAATAAGTGAGCAATTAGCTCAAAAAGTGTCTTGTTCAGAGAAGCAGCTGGAAATTTTAGCCCAAGCCTGAAGTTCCATTCTTCTACAAACCACTCACTGTTGCTCTGTCATCTCCTCATAAATTTCTGCCACCCCAAAGATGAACTACCTGGACTGAGAGAAGGTAATAGTTGCCTCTTTTAGGCTTCTATAACTGGGCTGTGGCACAGGAAATGTCCTCTGGTGCTATTTGTAGTCTGGTACCAGAGGAATATAAGGAGAGGTCTCTTTTGGTCTAGGTGCTCTCAGATCAGCCACCCCTTCCCTATGTCACCAAGCCACATTGTCAGCTAGTCAGTGGTGCAAGCCTCAAGTTATGATGGTCTCCTCATTTGATCCAGAAATCAAATTTCCCAACACCTTGTGTTTGGATTGTCATTTATATCTTCACTAAGTGTCTTGACTTGGTAGTCTTTAGTCCTGCTCATTTTGTACAGGTGCAACTGATAACACAGTTTGTTAGCAGAGGAATGAAACAAAGCCACCGAGAGGTACTTTGGTGATGAATACCTGGAGTAGCTGGAATAGATTTTCTGGGGGGATGTTAATCTGTCAAACAGACCACCACAAACCTGTGCTTGCTCTCATCTGCACTGCTATAAAGAAAAGGTCTGTCCTCTGAGACAGTGAAGTTGGGTGGGGTGAGTAATGGTGAATCGGAAGCAATCACATTTCTGTTCTGAGATATTCATGACTTTCCCTGCACTGGCTTTATTTCCTCCTGCAGGCCTGCTGGAGCAGGCAGGTGTCAACATGAGAAAGCTGCCCAAGGAAGTGAAAGTTTATTTAATGACCAGCCCCTCAGCCCCATTCTGTGGTAAGTAGCATGAGAAAAAATGAGTCAGAAGGGTGTTGACCAAATGAGGCAGATCCTCTGGGGAAGACAGGTAGTTACAAACAGCCATCCACATCAAAATCAGCTGCTGTGGCCCAGGTAGTCTGAGACACACAGCTGAAGAGCAATAACCCTGCACATCTCCCTTTCCAATGGGTTTATTAGTGTGGTCACAGCCTTGGATTAAGACAGCCACATGGCTTAAGAACTGAAGTAAAGGGTAGTGAAAATGCCTGTTGTTTATACTGGACTATGCAGACCTGCTCACTGTGCCTCTCATACCAGACTAGTTTCTTTCTTATGTCTATTTAATCTTCTTTCTGCTAGTGGGGCCAGGGAATGAGTGCTGGAGACCTTCTTTTGACAGGTGTAGGTCCAACGAGTAGTATTCTGCTCTCACTCCCACATACTTTGCCTCCTGCTCAGTCTATCACAGCCTGGTTGAGTTCCACTTGCAGAAGAAAAGAAATGTAGTCACCAACATTGAGATCACTTTCTGCAGCAACAGCACCAAGGACACCACGAAGATCGCCATGTGAGTGACACCGCATGCTTATGGCCTGTTTTTTCCCAGCTCCATATGTAAGGATGTTTATCCTGGTTGTGGAAAGGCACAACAATAGCATATCTCCCTGAGTGCAGTCACTGAGTGGTGAACCACAACCTTTCTTCTTGAGTACCTCCACATTTACCTTAATTGTTCTCAAGAATCAGGCATGAGCTACCATTACATGGTAACTCTGGCTAGGTCCACCTCTTCCCTGAATGCACAAAGCAGGAGTAATACTCCAGGATCCTCAAATTTGCATCCTTTTGAGTTGCTAGGCTTGATCTTTTTCTACACCATACTGTTGCCAAATGCCAATTGAAAACACAATCACTGTAGTGTTACTAGTTCTGCTCTGCCAGACAGAGATGGCTACAGCAAGACCTCATCCACCAGAGGTTCCAGACTGATGGACTTGGTGGCTTAGACATTTCTCTTGATACCCGATAGGACAGCTGTTGCAAAGACAAGACAAGTGCATCTCTGCACAGTCAGAAATGTATTCAGTAGCTTGTTGCCTCTGCACTGATGCAGCAAAGCGCCCAGATCTCGTTGTAAGGAAAAGCCCAGCGAGCAGGGAACCATGACCACATGTGTAGACAGACAGATCTCTCTTGAAAGCAGTGCCTTCCTCCAAACTCCGTCTGCATTAAAAAACCAGACTTGGACTCCTGCTCCACAGCCCTTGCCTCAGGGGGATCTCCCCACCACAGAGAAGTTCCCCAGAAATCCTCCTCTCTTCTTCCTACACCTTCCTGCCCACTACTGTGGGCTTTGAACTGCAATGTAGACGTGCAGGTAGCATATGCTGCTGACTGCCTCAGGATGCAGGAAAACAGTCTGCTAAAGAGCCCCAGCCAGCTTTCCTAGGATCAGAGGGGTTCCAGCACTAGCTCCTACGTAGTCCTTACAGCTAAGCCAAAACATTGTGACCTGAAGCTAATTGTGTCACTGTTTCAGTGTTGGGCACCAGGAGGTAGGGGTAAGAACCAGGGAAGGGGAAGCCACATTCCAGGGTGCTTTCCAGTGTGGCATAGCTGCTTGGTCACAGATTACCAGCCAGGCATTGCAATTTGGAGTTTATACTCCAGCCTGGTGAAGCTCAGTCTGTTCAAGGGGCTCAGAAGCCAAATCTGCCTTTTCCAAAGATGCAGGAGGGAAGAAACAGTAATACCCAGGTCAAGTCAGGATCCTTGATCTGCTCAGGAAGGTGTGCAGCACTTCCTTTTGCCGTTGTCAGACACAGGGTTTGATAGGTGTCCAGCAAGAGGCATGAGAGCACTGCAAGGAAACGTTGCCTGAGGGAGGGAGACAGGCAATCCTGAGGCTTTACTGTACCCACAGGTTTTCATGAGACAGTGGAGTTGTAGCAGGCTAACCTATCCAGAGATACCCTTACCCTGGGAAAACAGCAGCTGTGTTTCATTTAAGTTCCTTCCTAAGAAGCACAAAGCTAAACCAAAAGATTTGCTTGCAGCAATAAACCTACAGATTTGAGAGTGTACAAGGAAATATCTCTTTTAATTCACACTGTAATAAAGAGTAAAGAAACTTCCGCGCTATAGGCAAAGCTCAGCCCTCCAGTGCAGTCAAGCTCAGAGTGTCAAACAGGCATCTAAGCATAGATTCTCGCATCGCAGTTCAGACACTGATTGATCACTGACTTATTTCAGGTTATGTGACGTGTTCGTCATCCTCCATTTTCCCAGAAGTGCATAGGGACCTGGGAGTATTTAGCCAGTCTCACACCTTCAGCAAGTGATTCACATGGTTGTGTGTTGCCTCATACTGCCCTTCTTTCCCAAACATAATTCCTATCTCACTCCTCAGGATGCTGTTACCCTACACATTGCTCAGAGTGCCTCAAGAGACATGTCCCCAAGTCCCACAGCTGCCACTCAGCTGACAGAGGAAAGAACTTGTTACACAGCACACTTCCCAGCTGCACTGCCATTGCTTACACATCACACGACATCATCCCCCATACCCAAAAACCATACTTCTGAAGCCAGCCAAAAGTCCTACATCCAACCCAAAGGTTGTATGAGGTTGAACTGAATGTCAGTCCCAGGAGTGACTTTCTTTAACCTGCTTAACCTTACTGTGTTCCTCTGTCCTAGGAACTGGATCTTGCTCATGGACAATATACAGTAGAGAGATGGCCTCTCTCTGTTTATTTTCCATTTGCTATCCATTATACACCTTTATAAACACAATATTGTGATACTTCTTATTTTCAGCAGCTTTAAGCCAGACACAGTCAGACACATAAAACCTCCAGCATCTACCACTGCAGTCTAAGGGAGGGACTGGATGTACTGGTTTGGGTTGGGCACTCTGGCCTAGAAGGATGCTAAGTGCAGCTGTCAGCCCACTTTGGTTAGCAGAATTGTAGGCTCTTCCTGACCCTTCTGTCACCTCTCCCCTTTTCCTACCACCACATTTCCGATCAGGCGGTCACACAGGTGCTTCTGGGATTGTGCTGAGTCAGCTAAACACATATTCTTCATAAGCACAAGGAAATTGATGATCTCCAAGCTCCTACAGGTGCCGAGTAGATCAGACATAAGAAGGTTTTTTGGATGGACTCCACAGAAAGGAGGTAGCCCATCTACATAAAATGACTGGGCAGCACCACTTCACAGCACAGGAGCAACTGGACTCTCATCATTGGCTGTTTACCCAATCTCTGGCATTCCTCAGTTTTTGTTACCTGGGTAAGAGCATAAGGACAGACAAACATCTCACCTTCAACATGGTCAAAAGCAAGTACCTAGAGTATTTTTAAAAGGCAGTTTAAGCATGTAGCAGCACTTCCTTCAAATAGTTTCCCAATGTCTAACTAATTACATCTCAGGGACTTTAAGAGCCAAAGGTGAGATCTTTGTCTTTATTAGCTCTCAACACTTTTGTCTTCCATGAAATGGAAGACCCATGACTTGTACAGTCATGTAAACTTTCCAGCATCCACAACATCCTATAGCAAGGATTTTGACAGTTTAAAAGGAATGAGACTCTGCAGTGTGCAATCTTTTTGAGCCTGGCACCTCTTAGCTTTCTTTGATGACCCCTAGTTCATGTACTGGAAGAAATGGTGAACAGCTGATCCCTATCCATGCCACTCATGATTTCATAGATCTTATCTACCACTTACCACTCTGTAGGAATCTGGGCAGTGTTTCAATCTATATGCAATTACAAGAAGAGTTGTTGTAATTGTGTGATGGAAGGAAGGATATTTATATAGAAATATTCCTGACTACAGAGATAAAACATGGAGAGACAGCCAGTAAGACTCTCATGCAATGCCCTGTTTTGACAGATAAGTCTTCTCATTCCATTTTATTATGTGAGGGCTTCATGATAATACCCTAGGCTCCTCCAGTGTTTCAACACACCTGCGTATAACCTGCATCTGCAGGTTAATTGAATGTTCTGCCTCACATCTCTCACTCTGCCTTGCAGACCTAAGCAACAGGAGATGGGCAAACGGCTGCTGGCCCACAGAGTTCCCCTCTGCCAGATAAACAGCGTGACACTGAAGTATCTTCCCAAGAATCGATTTTGGAGGAAGGATGAATCATCTATTTTTGGCAGGTTCTGTGCAGCCTCACTGCCTCTTGACAGCAAGTAAGTCACAGGAATATCTTACAAGGATCCACTGAGCCTGTGGTTTGAAAAAATGAATTCTCTCTCCCATTTAGATAAACATGTGAAGAGGTCTCTCCCATCCTCTCTGTGTCCCTCTGTAAATCTTTTTCTACCTGTGAGAGAGAAAAAATAGCAAGGTAGATTTCTAGGAGTTTTCTATGGTTCTTCCCCCAGGATAAAAGTGTTGTGCCATGGGAGAAAAATAGCTGTGACTCACATCACCTTAAAGATGCTTAAGTCACAAACCATGGCAAAAACTTGTACTGGCTAGAATTCATTCTTTTTACCCTGGCTTGCTCTCTCCTATGCCTACAATGGGTCCTCATGTGAAACATGACAGGTGCACATTCTTCAGGATGAGACAACAGAAGACCAGTAATGAATTTCTGCTTCTTATACTGCACAGGTTTATAAAGCACTAAGGCTAAAGACAACCATTTTGGCATTTTCTGGGGCAGGCATTGTAGAGTATATGCCTTCAGCCATAATTACCTTACCCAGAGTAGAAGCAGCCAAGTCCTTTTCATCCCGAGAGAGCTAATGGTCTTCTCCATAGTACAGTTTTCTTCCCAGGAGTTTTGCTGATCCAGAGTTCTTGTGGGTAGGGAGAAACAGCTGTGTCTATTAAACACATTAAACTCTGTGCACATTGCTTCTAAGCTGACTCTTATGCTGGCTCCAGGCTGAAGCAAGCTAGTGGGCACTCCAAAGTGGGGAAACTCAGAAGCAGAAGGGAGAATGTGGTCACATTCAAATTCTGTTCTCATGGGCAGTAAGGAGACTCAAGTGCAAGGCAGTAAAAATATATCCGGTAGGACCAGATAAGGATAGATATTCCTGTGCAAATACCAGGCACTCCTTTGAGCATAAGGACTATCCCTTACTAGCATGCTTTGCAGAGAAAAGCACTCCAAAACTAAGTCACTTATGAATGGGACAGCATGGCACATTGCCTTAAAGGTGTGCTAACCTGCACCCCTGGAAGCACTGGACCTGGCTGTGAGGCAGGTGGAAATCTGTAGAGTTGCACAGGTTCACAACCACACTCTTATCATAAAACTGGGAGCACTCAGAGTAGCAAAAGTACTGCTAGGAGAGGGTGGTGGAAAGGACACTGCCCCATGCACACCCCTCCAGCCAATTGATTCCAGCCAGGGCACAGCTCCCTGTTAATCATTGCTGCTTCTTTGCAAAGCAGCCCCAGGTCCGTCAGCAGGTGTGTTAGGACAGCAACCTTTGCCTGCTAAAGCAGAGCCTGACTTCCCTGTGCTCTTCCCGCAGCAGGACAACGTCATGCCTGCCCTGGAACCTTACCCTCCCCAGCAACACAGACATCTCCTACGAGCTCCCCACTGCTTGTGCCTAGCACTGCCTTTGGAGCATGCAAGCTGACCCAAATCCGGAACGGAGCCCTGAACCTGTTTCTGCTCACTGCTCACAGATGATACTTTCACCTAACACTGGATGGGTGTTTTACTTCCTGCATTAGGGACAGGATGTCAAGGAAAAGAAGTGTGCAGCATATTGGTGAGTACAAGTTCGATCCATTACAGCAAGACCTCTCGGTTAAAAGACTGGATTGGAACTTTTGCCTTACAGTTTCTGTACCCAGATCTGAAAGTGAGATGGGCAAGTGATTTAATCTCAAGGTTCAGCTCTATATGAAAGAAGATAATATCACTATTCCTACAACAGGAGTATTGTGATGATTCATTTGTGTTTTATATTAAAGTGTCCTGAGAACTTCCAATTAACAGTGAGAAGTACTGTTTTTTCTCATCAAGGGGAAACTGTGTGGTTCAGGTTTGGCACAGGAAGTAGTCATTCTTAGCCAGCACTCCAATGGGAAACTCACTAGTCCTATCTACAAGACACTTTCAGAATGAGACCCTATTGATCTCATGTTAGTGCTCCTGCTAAATAATCAGATTAAATCTCCTTACTGTGACAGGCCTGGAGCAGCTCTTCTGGCTGTTGGCTTGTTCTCTTTGAAGCTCACATGAAGTGAAACAGACACCAGGAGCACAACAGTGCTCTTGCACCCAGTTTTGCACTGCTTTGAACAACTCCCCAGAAGAGAAGGTAATAGGAGGAGAATGGACCATCATAGTTACAGGGCCACCTAACACAAATTAGTCCCAGGAACTCAGCACAGCCTTTCAGTCCTGGAAAAGTAGCTGAGATTTAGAAAGATTGGTGAAACATTACAATATGAGAGACATGTACATAGAAACAGCCCTTACACATCCACACCTTTTCCACCACCTTGATGCATATAGAAATTAAAGAGGAGAAATCCTTATATCACTTCTGCCCACAAACAACATCTTCTGTAGACCACCTTTTCTGGTTCCCTGGACTGGCTTCACTGGGTGATAGAGAAGCACACCAGGAACACCACGCTCAGGAGAGAGGGACACGCTAAAGGCTTTTCTGCTGTGAAGAAGCCTCAGTCATTTGACATGAGCTGTCACTACTGCTCCACTAGGCAGTGTCACTGCAGAGTTAGCTCCTGCTTTCAGCTTACGTCCAAGTTTTTGGGCCCTGCCACATGGCTGTTTGGAAAGCCAGCTAACAAACCCCATCTCCAGCACACGCTCAGGAGAGGGTTAGAGCTGGCCTCTGACAACCTGACAGACATCCAGGTTAGCTGGTGCCATGACTGAAGAGTTTTTCCAGGGAGCTTCCTGTTGAAGACTGGGGTGTTAGCAGGCACCTGTGAAGGACAGTGTGTAATTCAGCCCAATGCAGTCCACTGCTTCAGGGAAGTGTATAAAGTGTATCCACGACAGATGGATACAATTTCATTGGGCATTTCAGTTCCTTTGCAGAAGGGACCCCAGCAGATCTCATGTTCATTTGCTGGAGACCTTTCCTAGCGGGGAAGACTATGAGATCAGGCTGAAGCAGGAACGCAGCAACAGAGCATGGTGTTAACCATCAGCAGGATGATCCCCCAGCCTGGGGCGGCTCCGTTCTCCTGCCCTGGGGTAACAGCAAAGGCAAGCATCACAAGGAGCAGCATATGCCATGGATCCCAATACTCACCACTTTAGAGGCCTCTCCACACCTCAGCAATGGTGCCAGGTCCTGAAGGCACAGATCTCTCCCAGCCAAAACTTGCGAGACACACCAGACTGGTCTCTGGGCCACAGCCCTGTGTGAGCAGCACACTGCAGGTAGGGCTGCCCTCACCAGCCCGCAGCGGACACAAAGCCAGTCCCACGCACAGAATGGCCATGCCCCTGCGTGTCTGTGCCAAGAGGCACTGAAGAACGCCCTGCCCTCTGCCTGCTGATGGAGGGAATGATGCTCCTCTCTCCTTCCCTGGATATCTGCCCTGGAGAGGCTCCTGCCCTTACCACTCAGCTTGGTTGCACCAGGCTCTGTGGGACAGAGGATTCCTCCACCAGTAGTGCCATCTCTGATTCCCTGACAGGAAACGCCTGGGGAAGCTCGTCAGCCAAAGCCTGTTGCTGCTGAACTTGGAAAATGCCTTCCATCTCCACACTATTTTCATCCAAGATATTGCACTTCTTCCTACCAGTCGCTGCTCTCCCCATGGATGTTTTGTACTCACTCATTTCCGCACTCAATGTGTGATGAACCTGAGATCATTCCCCATTGAGTACAAAAAAAAGGTTCAGGGTCTGCTTCTTGCCTATACCTGCCCTGAGTCCCAATTCCTCCCCTTTCTTATTCTAAATGAATCGACTCAATAAACTTCTCACCAGAAGTCAGTAACCTCTTTCAGAAGTGATGTTTGTCATAAATGATAAATCCCAACCCCTGAAAAAGGAATTCTTGATCTTACTACAGTGGATGCTCGGTAAGGTGCATGATATCACATGTCCATATCATGCTCTTCATTACAAGTCCATTACCAAAGCCATCAGACAGCCCATTTCCCCTGTCCTTTCCCCTACCTTATGCCTTGAGATCACCATAAGTCTTTCAAACAGTGTTATCCCCCTCTCCAAATCCGCAAACAACAGTAGTTTTATCTCTGACTTTAATGGGAATCATTAAACCAAAGGGAACACAGATTCTACAAGCAGGCTGATACCGCTTGCAGCGATATCGGTGTACCTTGCTATTGGAGCTGCCAACACACCTCAGAGAGGCAGGACTAGAAAACAAACTGGGGAAGCACACTGGGGCAGGCAGCTCTGGTGAACAACCATGGGGTGGGAGGTGCTGGAGTGTTACACTGCAGTCTCACGCATGTGCTTCACGTGCTCCTGAGTGTACGTGTCTGCAGGCAGACGTCTCAGTGCTTGCTAAAGAGTGTGTCTCTGGTCAGAAACCTGTGTGAGCATTCGCTTCCTTGGAGGGGCTTCAGGATCAAAACAGCCTGTTGTTCCCTAGAGTTCAGGGGTCTGAGTGGGAGCCAGAGGGGCTCGTCCTTTGCAGAGAGGGTTGGGGCAACTCCAGAGATGGTTTCCAGAGGCTGCAGAAGGAAAGCAGTGGAGGGAGTAAAAAAATGAGGGGGGGGGAGAGAGAGAGAGAGAGAGAGAAAGAAAGCACCATTATTATAACAGGAAAAATTCTTGCAAACTTTTCCAAGATAGAAACTTCATGGACCCCATGCTTACCTGTCCTTCTCCCCACTCCTCCTATTAGCATGCAAAATTATGTATTTCTTCAACATATGATAAAACAGAAAACAAGGTTACCCACCCATCCTGAGACAGCAAAACCAAGCCCTTTCAAAGCACCTTCTGTGACATCGGTGAAACAAAGCCCACAGCTCCTTTCATTTTGCTCTCAAAGCAAATATTAAAAAAAATAAAAATCCAACTAATTTAGATACCAAGCTACAGGCCATCAAACATCCACCTATCCATCCACCTCACTTACCAAATAGAACGCCAGCCCCAAGATGAAACTGTACAAAAATATGTAGCAGCAGCTTCTCATATTGCAGGCACTTGATAGCAATGAACTAGAGCAAATGTGATATGAAAGGGGGAAAAAGCAGGTGGCTTTTTGTTGTCTGAATTTTCATGCAAGGAATAAAGCTTAGTTTGCTATGGAGCACTAAGCTGTAAAGCAGTACAGTGTTAAAGCAAGTTTTGAACAGAACTTTTGAACCTGCCTCTTTTAAACAGGCAGCCTGTAAGTTACTAAAGTATCTCTCCCTCTCAGAGAAAGAATGCACTCATCAGTAGGATATCATTGTCTTGCTTGTAAGCACACTAGAAACTCAAGGAACTAGATGATAAGAATAGTAGACCAATATATGTCCCAGGAATATTTTGTTCTGCACGATCTTCACAGCACTTTGGACATTCAAGAACTGCCTTCTGCACTGTGGCATAGCAAGGCAACTGTTGCAGTGACAGAAAATTTAAAGGAATATGATCCATAGAAGCACTCCAGCATGGGGAATTTAGAGAGCTGGAAGGTTTGAAGTTGCAGGGGAAGGAGATGAGAGCACAGACCTGGGGAAAGCCCCAGGGGAGTTTTGACCTCTAGGATCGCAGCTATCGCTCACTTTAAACTATGACAACTGCAGAGAATATCCCTGTTTACTACGGGTATTTTCACCAATTCTAAGCTGTAGTGCTGGTGGGGTGTGATGTGATTAGGATACCCAAGTGGTGAGCGGAGTAACAAGGAAGTGCTTGTTCCACTGTTATGGACACAATAATCACAGTTTGTGTTTCCTTGTCTGAGTACCTTAGACATTAAAATACCACACTTGGCCATTGTCTGCAGGCTAGCAGACAAGGAAGATCATCCTCCTCTCCCATCTGGTACCAGCCTCTGAAACATTGGGGCTTTTATCACAGGTATCAGCAGGTATCACAAATGTCAGCACACCTTGGTACTGCCTCATGCGTAAGATCTGCAAAGCTTTCAATATGTTTTAAAAGAATTATTTCAAAAAAAGAACAGCTTTGTGCTGTGTAGCACAAGCTTTCCCCAACACACACCTCTTGCGTATGTGTTCACAGTATTGGCTCATTACCAAAAACAGGTGGAAATGATTAAAAAAAAGCTACAGTGTTCCTTGCCTCCTTCCCTGTAGGACTGAATTTGAAATTCCAATTTTATTGAGCTTGCTCAACCAGGAGAATTTTGCCAATGACCGGAGAATTGATATCCTTCTGCTGAGAAGACAAAATACAAGCAAAGCATAGATAATGTGACATCACCACGTTTACAACACTAACTGCATTCATTTTTGATTGTATCTATTAAACAGACATTCCTGAAAGTTAGGAGGAAGGCTGTCTAATAAATGATTCAGTGCTCCATCCTCTCCAAGTAGGGACTAAAAAAAAGCTGTGAATTCCTATCTCCAGCAGTCTGCCAGCAAAACCAGGGACTTCACGTTCAGCAAACAACAAAACAGCAACTGGATGAAACAACAGAAAAGGCCTCTACCACCAGACTTGCTGCTGTAAATAGCAAGTGCTGTCTGGCACCAGGGAGCCTTTGCACTTAGAGCACTTAGGAGGGACAGTCTCCCTGCCATCACAGCGATGAGGCCTGCGCACAAGCACTGCAAGGTAGGGAAGATTACTGCAGGCTTGTCAAGGCTCCTGCCAGGATTCACTGTGGTCTGCATCATGCACCCTGCCAGTGAGCCCAAGCATTTGTAGCCCAGAAGTAGGGAAGGGAAGTAGTGCAGGGAAGACCAGGGTGCGATGGTGTACCCTGTTCAAGGGTGCCCACTGGAAGACGGTCTGCCCAGCTGCAGACCAGCCCTGCAGCTTCCTCACTGCCATGCAGACCCAACTGGGGGACAACACAGTGGTCACTTCTAGGACAGAAATCTCTGTCTCAGGCTTGGTGCCTGGCAGCTGGATGCCAGAAAGCAGCTATTATGGAGTGGCAGGAGGGAAGCACTTTTCTGGGGCCGCA